AGGGCCCATTCGCGAATTTCGTCCACGTAGTTGGCGCCAGAGGTCGGACCGTTGATGGAGATAAGATTCAGGGGCCGGATGCGGATTTCTCGTCGTGTGAGGATGGTGTAGCGAATCAAGGCGATGATGTCCTCCATCTGGTAGGCCGGGACATGGGATTGATGTTCCAAGGAATCAAAACACCCATGAAGAAGAAGGTGCGCAGAACACCGGTGATGTCGACAAAGAAAGGCATCGAGTCGCGCTTGTAGACAATGATGGATTGCCAGATGGAGGAGTGGCGGTCAGCGAAGTCCAGCTTGGAGTACTCGGTCTCCAGCTCCAGCATGTACTCAGGATCGAAAACGGCGTCGCAGTCGCAGTTGGTGAAGATGTGTTCGTATGTCTCGTAGTTGTAGTCGGCATCTTGACGGAGGACCTGGAGGCCCTGGCGACAGGCGTAATTCATGTTGGAGCACTTGCCACTAATCTCGCCGGGAATGCCCGAGGGGTGGAAGGTGACGATGAGGCGGAGGAATTTGCCCTCGTACTTTGCGCAAATTTCATCGCGTTTGGCTTCCTTGTCGGGTGTGCGGCATTCCATGCCGACGATGACGGAGAGGCGGGATGCGGCATCCTTTTTGCTGCACGAGAGAGTCCAATGTGGTTTGCAGTACGCTCATAGGTTCCTTGTACAAGGTCATGGCAACGACATGACGAAGGGTTGAGTGCTCGTTGGCCCTGGCGCCAGCTGATTCGACATCTTGGGCTTTTTTCGTCTTGAGCTTGTTCCGGCGGTTGATGGCCAGTGTTCGACGAATGGCGCAAATGATAGCAATCAGCCAGATTAGTTGAAAAAGACCCATCGCAATGACGAAGACGATGTTGGTTGCTTGGTTGACGTAGGGAATGAGAGGCATCCATATTGGAAATAGAAGAAAAATGAAGATTGTCAGGAGGAACAACAGGTTCCAGCGGACATAGCGGTTGGCTGCTTCGAGTTTTGCAGCGTTGATGCCATTGTCTGTTGGGATATTGAGAGATGAACCTGATGAGGAGGATGAAAGCACCTTGGGCGCTGAGCTGTCGAGAGATGAGACTGATGAGGAAGAGGAAGGCATCTTGGGCGGTGGGCTGTCAAGAGATGACCCTGATAAAGAGGTTGAAGGCATTTTAGGGGGAACTTCTCTCAAGAAACAAGAGCTAAATAGTTCAATTCTCGAGGGCAGTAACCAGCTTGGAGGGAGTTCTTGTTTTCTTCTGTTTGTATCTGTCAAGTGTGTTCGTACTCGTTGTTTACAGTCTCCACCTCCAGTGCTCCATGAATCAGCTTGCTGCCTACCATTATATGGCAAGAAAGAAAAAAGTTGAATATTGACTGCTAGTCTAGCCTCCTATTGATTTGATTATGGGACCATTTCATCGATTTCTTGCGCCTCCCCCGTTGTCCCTGCAGACTCTGCCATTGTTTCCCAATTTTTAATTCCCAGTGCTCCATAACTCAGCTGGCTAAATGTCAATACATGGACAAAGAAAGAAAGTCTAGACCCTGATCAGGCTTGGTGTTGCAGGGGTGTAGATAAATTCGACCCCAGTCAGAATGGTCTTTGCTACACTTGGCATTACAACTATCATTCAGCTGGACCGTCGGGCCGCCGGCGAGTGCGGAGCCCTCAGCCAGCCGCAATGCGATCCAAATTGCCCTGAACCGCTGAAGGAATTCAAGGAAGCCGCACCATGAAAGCATCACGAGATCTGCCACGATGCGCCAGAACGTGCAAGCCCCAAGCTGCCGCTTTCAAGTTTGTGAAGGTACAGCACATGGGAGACCATGAGACAACATCAAGCGCAAGAAGGAGTTATTTTCCCCCCTTGATATTATCCAAGGGCTTCCGCTTGCACAACAAAGCCACGTTCCTCAAAAATCCACCTCTTGAAGATATTGTTGACGACCAATGCAGCAAAGAGCCCTCCCTTGCTTGCTGGTTCAGGTTCACGCAAACAACGGGGTATGAGGCCAGACCCACATGGTGGCGGCACGGAACGTCTGCCTTTTCCCGGGACAAGGGCTTATCGGAGAATAATACTGGTGGGCTGAGGATCGATATCGTCTCGCTCGCAGTTCACTAAACAAGGAACAACGACAAGCTCCTCTCTCCGACTCCTTCGGCATCTCCCCCCTCAAACTAGCGGCCATGGGCCTGAACCAGCTCCTATTCCCTAGGCCTGGCGGATGGGTGGTCGAAAATAACTCATTCTTTTTCCTCAGCTGGTTTAATGCTTTAGCGGTGACAAGTCAATCGAGCTGCCGACGACGGTTTTGAATTCGCCCTAGAGAGTGTGCGTCGATGATGTTGAGACGGACGGCGGCTATCAATACGGATACTTTGTGAAGCGCTTCCGCAATATCAGTGATGATGAGACGGGGCAAAAGCTCCTGCCAAGTATAACGAGCTGCTCGCACGCGTCCCTGATGACCCTCGCTGCAACACTACCAGCCTGGCCTACGTCACCGCAGCCGCCGCGTGGCACAAGCGGCTATGTCGAGCCGAAGTTGTAGAAGAATTTCTGGGCTGGTTGTTTGGTGAGGTGTAATTGGGGTATCGGACCCCAAGAGGATGTTTTGCTCGGTGAGGGAGGCTTGGGCGACAGCGTTGTTGGGGAGAGATTGTAACGTTGTCGATGGAGGAGCGGCCCAGCGGGCCTGCGCTGCCGTTGGGGGAGGCGGGGAGCAGACCGAGCAAATAACTGATCATTGGAGGTTGATGTGATGTGCGCAAAAGGATTCTTCCCTTGTCGTCGTGTCGCTTAGCGTTGTAACTTGTCCGCATTAGCTTCGGTCTCACTCTCCCCTTTCAAGCCCTTTGAAATATATCTACAAGATGTCTGTCGCCCAGTCGGTATGAGATTACCCAAGCTACTCGTATTTCTCTTGAAAAACGCTGGGTTTGAAAATACGCCCATTCCAACACGTTGTTCAGTGTCTAGGCCACTTCCTCTCAATGGGCTTCTTCTTCCTGATATAGATCGTCGGATCGCAGGTAACAAAGCCACTGCCCGGGTGTCGATGGTACACATCGTAGAACTGGCTCAGCCAGTGGGTTGGGCCATAGTCACTGCGAGAGTTAGTTGGCGTTACATGACCTTGCACTGCCAAGGAAAAGACTGGTCTTACCCCCAGAAAATACTCTCCACACTCTTCACGTCTTGGTCAGCCCCGTCATGCCAGTACGTGAACTCCTTGAAGATTGCCCCCGGTTGGAGATTGGCCTCCTGGATAACCTGAAACACGCTGTTGTTGAGCGTGGAGTCAACGACCAGCGTATGTTTGTCAATCTTGAGTATGCCCTCCTTGATGTACGCTTCAGGGTCGTACGGGGTGAGGTTCTCCTTGTCGCGCAGCTTTGCCTTTATCGTGGGCACTCCTCGGTCGTCCTCGGTGGGTATCTCAAATGTTTTGAATGGTATGTCATGCAGTTTCAACCTTTGGAGTTTCGTCAGGGACCTGGCAATGTCCATGAGGAAGAGGTTCCTCCACTTGGGTATGTGCGACGGCCCTGTGTAGCGGCCGTCGGCCTCCCGCCCAAATATCGTTTGTCGGGTAAAATGAATGATCTTGTAAATTTTGACGTCCGCTTGCTTTAGACTTTGGTGGAAAGCTGATACCATCTTCGGGTTCTCATGCTCTTTCTGAAGTGGCCTAAGGAAGTGGCGGCTGCCGGAGGTTTGGGATGAAACGTCGTAAAATGCGAATTCCTCGCGGTGTATCCTCTCCATAAATTTGTCCAGGGGGCCGAGGGGCGACTCCGCTGGAGACTTGGATGACCTCTTGAAGTACTCGCTGCGGAATAGAGGCTTTGGTAGGGATTCCAAAAAGTCGCATATCCTGATGTGTGTCAGCATGTAGTCCCTAGATCAGCTATCATCGACCCGGTGCCATACGTACTCTTTCTCACTTGCATTCCACCCTGCATCACCAAATTTCCCTTCTTGTGCAGCCTGAAAAGCTCGGTAGATGTGCTCTGGCACCTCTAGGTCGTCATTGACGAGGTACTTTGTGCGAGCTGTAACCCATTTGCGCTCACTATATGTTAGCGCAATGATGTCGCCAGGTTTAATCTTCCTGACGCCTAAATTGTAACTTTTTTCTTCAGCCATGTTGAATGTCTGGATTGCCGTTTGTCTGGTCGTTGGCAATGCCCTCAGACTTTGATAGGGAGGACGCCTGGGTGCGCCCCCTGCGAGTGTGGCTGTGCAAGCAGGTTTGCTGCAGACGCTGTCGCAGCGGAGACGGTCGGCGTCAAGTGGCGACAGGGAAAGTTTTACATTCTTAGTGACCATGAAAATGTTGGGCTAAGTCTCAGCGCGTTTGTTGGCCTTGATTCAAACCGAGGACGGTGCGTTGTTCTCGGACCTTGGCCTTGTGACAAAGATGGCCAGATGACGAAGCCTGACGCCATGGCCCATTGTCTGCACTGCCCTCGCTGTTGGCGGCAGTGTCACTGGGAGCGGGTGAAATCATGTTTGCTGTTGAAAAATTCGGTGTTTCTTTGAGAGCGCTGGTCTATTGGCCTGTTGGCCCGTTGAACGACTGATCACGTCGGTCATTGATGTTGAGTGGCCCAGGCAGGGCCGCCGGCGGGTGGCGGCTGGTGAACCAACTGCATCGCAATCTGAGTCCAAAAAGACCCGCAGCAAAAGGCCCGGCGCTTGTGAGTAAACTACGTGGTAGCGCTTGCGAGGGTGCCGGATGTAGTACCCAGTCCTTAATGCCTTTTCGAGAGAGCATTCAGTTGAGTCCTTGTAATCTTGTTCTTAAGACTTAAGAACACACGAGGTTCCGTAATGCCGGTTATCAAGACTCAACCACCAGTTCCAATCCGAAGATGCCCACCACAGCTGCTATCACAACTTACACGAAAGGTAAACAAGCAGGCACTCACTCGCCCAGGCAAACCTTTTACAACTGGAAAAGAAAAAGTAAGTCTGAAGACCTCTGCAACTCGCAAAAGGAGAGGCCACGATCCACCCAGGGCTCGAACCTGGAACCTCCTGATATACAGATTCGTAGTCAGACGCGCTTCCAATTACGCCAGCAGACCTTGTTCAAGTTGTGACGCCGGTATCGTGGTTGAGGAATAGGTGCCAGAGGGTGTCCTGGGTGTGGCGGTGGAGTTCGTCGCGAAGATTTCGATGATTCGTAGTCAGACGCGCTTCCAATTACGCCAGCAGACCTTGTTCAAGTTGTGACGCCGGTATCGTGGTTGAGGAATAGGTGCCAGAGGGTGTCCTGGGTGTGGCGGTGGAGTTCGTCGCGAAGATTTCGATTTCTGAGCGGAAATGTGCGAACTTGGTGGATACCCCAGGGATAGCCACCATACGAGGCGACGAGAACAAGAAAAACTCTGAAGAGAAGGTGCCCGAAGGTCGAGTTCGCGATGCACGCGTTTCCGCGGTCGAAGGAGGTTGTCGGAGGAAAGAACGATCGAGAACCGGGTTAAGGAACACGAGACAGGTTTCGCGGTTTCAGATGCCCGGACCCTAACCCTTCGCTGGATGAAGTGGCACCGGCCTCGCAGGTTAAGGCTGCGTCGATCTGCCGGGTCGTCAATATAAGGTTAGACAGGACTTATGAGGGATTATACCGATCCAGCGCGCTGGGTGCCTATCGATGATGCAAAGGCGCATTTGCTTCGTTTTTTGCCATATGTTCGTGGCCATCACAGCTCGGATGACGTTCCTGGCCTGGACCCAAGTGGGGCGCGTCCATTCAGGGACCCGGGCTGTTGTGCACCCCCGCCCCTGAATTGACAACCCCGCGCATGAAAGCGGCGACGAACGGCTGATCGCCTGTAAATTTGGCATCAGATCATGTCTGGTGCAGCTGGCGTTCTGGTCTTGGAATTATCGACTTCGTAACACTCAATACGGGCACATGGACCTTGGAAACGCCAGAACATCCCCCAGAATAACCCCAAAATACACCGCAAGATCCCGGAACACGGGTGTTCCCGCCGCGGAGATGTGGTGGGAATCGGGACTCTGCCGGGGACAGTGTTGGGTGCCGGCCGGGAGAGCTGAGTCAGATCCAAGGAACCCAGGAAACCGGGACGCAACGTCGAGGCAACCACCGGCCCTCGGAGATGCGTAATCCTGCGTCGATCGAACGGCTCGCCCGGTGGTTCCACCACCGCCGGAGACGTCAGGCGAGACCGCGCAGTGCAACCGCGAGCGAAAATCGCGACGGCGGGTGTGGGTGAGAGGATGAGGCTTGTCGACGGCCGCGCCGGCGGGCGATCGGGTGGGGCTCCAAGATAAATACCACCCGGGTCCCACGGAGTAGTCCAGGTAGAGCAGATCCGCACCGACATATATAAGACAACCATGAACACCTTCCTTCCCCAGCTTTTGAAGAGAGGAGTCCAGAGAGGAGGCATCAGACTTACCACACAAACCCAGATCCGCCGCTTATCAGCATCCCCCATCATGGCTGCCGTCACCGCAAACCAGATCGCCATCGTCAAGGCGACAGCGCCCGTCCTCAAGGAGCACGGCGTCAAGATCACCACTGTCTTCTACGAGAACATGATCCGTGAAAACCCCGACCTCAACAACATCTTCAGCACCACCAGCCAGACCACCGGCCGTCAGCCGCGCGCCCTTGCCGGCGCCGTGCTCGGCTACGCCACGTACATCGACGACCTCCCCAAGCTCTCCCACGCCGTGCAGCGCATCGCCCACAAGCACGTCTCTTTGCAGGTCACCCCGGAGCAGTACGACATCGTCGGCAAGTACCTGATCCAGGCCATCGGACAGGTTCTCGGCGAGGCCGCCACCCCGGACATCGTCGACGCGTGGATCGCCGCCTACGGCCAGCTCGCCAATGTCTTCATCAACCTTGAGAGAGACATGTACAAGGCCAACGCGGCCGAGAACTGGGTCGGCTGGCGCAAGTTCCGCATCGCCAAGAAGGTCGCCGAGAGCTCGCTCATCACCTCCTTCTACCTCGCCCCTGTTGACGGCGGCCGTCTGCCCAAGTTCCTGCCCGGCCAGTACATCAGCGTGCAGCTCCCCGTCCCGGAGCTCGGTTACCTCCAGAGCCGGCAGTACTCCCTGTCCGAGGGCCCCGTCGAGAATGGCGAGTACTACCGCATCAGCGTCAAGAAGGAGGACGCGGCCGAGGCGGGTATCCCCGGCCTGATCTCCAACATGCTGCACGGCAAGTTCAACGTCGGCGACGAGGTTGAGGTCTCCCACCCCCAGGGCGAGTTCTTCGTCGACCCCGCCGACGCCTCTAAGGCCGGCGTGCCCGCCGTGCTCATCTCCGCCGGCGTCGGCGCCACCCCGCTCAAGTCCATCCTCGACAGCCTGACCTCCGGCTCCGGCCGCAAGGCCCCCGCCGTCACCCGCCCCGTCTCGTGGATCCACTCGGCCCGCTCCAGCGCCATGCAGCCGTTCGGCGAGGCCGTGCGCCAGACGTGCCGCGAGAATGAGAACGTGAAGGCGAACGTGTTCCTGGCCAATGTTGGGGCGGAGGACCAGGTCGGTGTGACCTATGAGTTTGGGTCGATGCGCATGGACTTGGCGAAGTTGGATAAGGAGAAGGATCTGTTCCTTGGGAACGAGAAGGCTGAGTACTTCCTGTGCGGCCCGGAGCCGTTCATGGTGGATACGCGCGCCACGCTGGTCAGCATGGGCGTGGATCAAAACAGGATCTTCTTGGAGTTGTTTGATACTGGCGATGTTCCGCCTATGTAAAATGGGGTTGTCAGAGTAGATGGGCAAGAGAAAGAAAGAAGGGAAGGGTTGGGCACAGAATAGCGGGATGGGGTTTGGAGTTGTCGGGTTTTTGTTTTGGATTTTAAACTTGATGTCTCCCTTTGTGCTGTCGTTCCGTTAAAAGATAGGATACCTGGAGGAGGATGGAAGCATCGTCTCTGCTTGCTCTGGACTTAAATGCGTGCTTCTTATGAATGAGGGTGCTTGTGTGCCGTGGAAGGGAGTGGTCACCAGACTCGAGTGAAGGGAGGGTGGCTTGCAAGAAGCTGTGTTGGGTGCTCTCCTGCCCCATTGAGCCGTGGATGGTTCACACCTGCTGGTGACCCCTCTTCTGGTGTTGATGTTCCTCCGCGGAGGGTTGGGGGATAGGTCTGGTGAGTGGTGGTTGAAGGTGAGAGTTGGACGGCAAAAGGGTCAGAGGGCAACTTGGAGGTTTGGGAGAAAGGATACGCGGCGGGCTGTGGTCACACTGGTGAGGCGGTTGGATGGGAGGTTCTGTTGCAAGAGGTCCTTGACCTTCCACACCTGCAGACTGCCTCACCTGCCTTTGGTGCTTGAAACACCCACCACTTTTCCACTTCGAAACACAAGAAGAAGAATACATCACCAGTTTTGCCCTGCCTGTCTTGCGCTCTCTACAACAGTTCCGAAGTGGCCGCCGTCCTATTTGTGCAGGACTGGCTGGCTGGGGTAAGTGTAAAATTGAACTCAAACTTGCAACGACTTGACTTCTCGAGACGCCAGGGTCATTCAAGGAGGTTTAGCCGTTTTATGCAATTGAAAGACGGATTCAGCCAGAGCCTTTTGCGCTTGGTGGCAGGGTTCATTTGTCAAGCCGCGGCCAGCGGTGTGTGTTGGGAATGCGGTTCTGGATGAATGGAGCTATTTGCGCAGTTTCAGAAGACTGGAAACAGCCCTGAGCATTCCTGGCACTGTAGTGTCTTCAATTGATAATTCGCCCAAATCTTAAAACTGCAGTGGTGCTTCGGTCTTTCCCTGGAAGATTGTTTTCTGCTGCTTGACTCTTTTGGTTGATGGTGTTTTGTGACGGCAATGTGCGTGTTCTGAGACCATGATGTTGTTCTGACGGTGTCAACGGCTTTGGCTGACACAGTCCTCTGCCGCTTGTTCGGCAGCTGGCGGAAAAGTCGTGCTGGCGCCCCACTTCCCGAACAGCCAAGCATAACGGCTCAACTTGGCACGCCCAAAGTCTCCTGACGTTACCTAGCAACGGCAGCCCCTGAGTCGAGATCGCAAGTCAACAACAGGAGGTCGGCCGGAAATCTAAAAAATGGGAAGACTGAAGATTACGACAGGAGTGAGGTAACGGCGGCATGTAACGCGAGTCAACGGGTTGTCCGAAGCAATACTCATCGCGCAGAAACATGGCGTTCGCCTCCGACGATTCCATAGGGTGAGAAAGGCGGCAGGAGGCAAATGGTGATGGCAGTTCGTTCCTTCCCGTGGAAGAGGGGTCTAGAACGTGGGGTGGGGTCGCTTCCATCTCGATTAGCACCCGTAGAAGTCTCCTGCAGAAAAGGCAGATGGTGTTGAAGGCCCCAGACGGGCAGGTGCAGAAATCCTATAAACGCCTTCCCTCAAAATCCGATTCTCCTCTCACTTCCATTCTCGCCCGATCTGTCTGTGCTCCTTGGCCACCCGCACAGAAGCCTCGGTGTCTCACCGAATATGAGCTTATTCGAACCTGGGGAGTTGTATCGTGTGGTGATGTTTCTCAAATCGTTTCAGGGCCTTTTAAGAGTAAGGATCACATGGCGGCGACCCCTGGGCCATCTTGTTGTGGGGGTGAACTCATGCGCTCGTAGTCCCCCCTCGGACATCCGACGTTCGGCAACCCGTTCCTCAGATCTCTAACTTGTAGAATCTTTTTGTAGATCTCGGCCCGTAGTCTTTTGCGTCACGTGCGTCAATCCAATTCCGATGATGCGAGGGAGTGCGGCACATGTGCCGTCTGTGCCCGGTGTGATATACCCTGTTTCATAGTTTTTAAAAGACCCTGTTTTTTATAGATGTACCCATTGGAGCATTAAAGAGATGGATTCTGTTTTTTGCATGGTGCAGGGGTTTGGCTGACGGCTCTGTCCAGTGCGTCCACGACCCAGCGGCTTCCAGTCGCGTAGGACAAGATCTGTTTAATTTCGATGCGAGGCTTGTGTTACAGCATGACTTACATATAAGCGGATTGTTTGTGGGAGGTATGAACGTCAACTTGTAAGTACAAAACGGCAGAGAACCCAAGACTCTATTCAGTGTTCTCAAGTTTTTTTGCCACTTCGCCCCTGAAATGCCACACTCCCTCTTC